CCTGAATATATAGAAGTAAATCTGAATATATAAATGTAAATCTGAATATATAGACACAAATCTGAATATATAGAAGTAAATCTGAATATATAGAAGTAAATATGAATATATAAATGTAAATCTGAATATATAGAACTAAATCGGAGTATATAAATGTCAATCTGAATATACAGATATAAAACTGAATATATAAAAGTACATCTGAATATATGAATGTACATCTCAATATACAGTATCTCACAGAAGTGAGTACACCCCTCACATTTTTGTAAATATTTTATACATTGTAGCAAAGTGTCATTTCTTCAGTGTTGTCACATAAACAGATATAATAAAATATTTACAAAAATGTGAGGGGTGTACTCACTTCTGTGAGATACTGTAAATACATCTTTATTATCTGGCATGTCAAAAGACAGATGTTATTTATTATTTTTATTAAAACAATATGCCTATACATCCTGAATGCATCAATTAGGATATTGCACTATATTAATTACTGTAAGTGTATATAACTTATCTAAACCAAACAGAGTATTTTTACTGTATTTTACAAAAAGGCTGGCAGTAGCGCCAAAAAGTCCTTACAATTCAACATAGCTAAAAATTTTGCAAGTTCTTGTCTGGTGTAAAACAGCCACTGTATCTATTTTTGCTATTCTAATATAAATAAATCCATGTTATCACGTAGCATTTTTCCCTTTACTAGGTAGTGGTACAAATTGTTTAAAGGAATCACCTGGAAAATTTACGTGATATTGGTTTTAGTTGGACCACTATATTTCAGAAGCTATGTATTCGCATCAGGACTTGATTAAATCACAGAAGGGAACTATGGCTGGAAGAGAATGTGGGATTTACACCTCTCTCTGATGGAGCTTGATCACCATATAATCAACATCCTGTTATCTGTACCTTATTCTGGGGAAACATACATTCAAGGCAGCTTGAGAGGCAGAGGACTTCGACTTCAACAATGGAGAGTACGGGAGCATGTACTTGTATATATTCAGATTTAATTCTATATATATTCACATTTACATTTATATATTCACATTTACTTCTATACATTCAGATTTGTATCTATATATTCATGGTTATAACTGTATATTCAGATTTGCATTTATACATTCAGATGCACTTCTATATATTCAGATTTACATTTATAAATTCAGCTTTACATTTATACATTCAGACGTACTTCTATATATTCAGATTTACATTTATACATTCAGACGTGCTTCTATAATTTCAGCTTTACATTTATACATTCAGATGTACTTCTATATATTCAGATTTGTATCTATATATTTGTGGTTATAACTTTATATTCACATTTTAAGTTTATATATTCAGATGTACTTCTATATATTCAGATTTACATTTATATATTTGTGGTTATAACTTTATATTCACATTTTAAGTTTATATATTCAGATTTACATTTATATATTCAGAATTTACATAATTATTTCCTGTTTGGCACCTCATATTTATATATTAAAGATTTTTTTACTTTATATGTTATATATAATTTATATATTAATATTTTATTTTAAAGTTGTTTTTTTTTACAATGTAAGAATTTGTTTCATTATAATATTTAAATAATACTTGTTTAAATAATTTGTTTCATTATCAAATACTTTTATTATATGGGTCAATTACAGATCTTTTACAAATCTTTAACAGTGCCGCAGGATCTTAAGAAATGTCATCTCTGAAATAAAGTTGGTTGAATATTTGGAAAACAAACAAACAGTCTTTTCAAAATTGCTTTAACCACTATATTTACATTTAGTCATTTAGCAGACACTTTTATCCAAAGCGACTTACAAATGAGGACAATAGAAGCAACCAAAACCAACAAAAGAGCAATAATATGCAAGTGCTATATTAGTATATTATTATAGTGTT